CCTGACATCTTCAGTTAGGATCAGAACTCTTTTTTTATCAATGAATCAGTGGATTCACCCAGTAAATCTCAAAGCAACTTTTATGTTCATCGTCAGTTTTCTTTTGTTCTTATGTTCCAAGAAGGACCAGGAGGCCAAAGTGTTAAACAGCAGAAGCTTTATTAAGGAGGTGTTCATTGAAAGGCAGCAAAGTTAGACAAAGCTGTTTCCTGCCCAAAATGATCAATGACATCATCATGACATTACATGATTGAACTCTTAAACTAACAGTCCATTGTACTTATACAAATACACAACAACATTCACAATGCCATTAGGGAGGGAGTTTTAGGATTTTGACCAGTGACCACTGAAAGAACAGTAATATTTTCCCTAGTTAAATGGTGAGTGGCTCAGAGGGGAACTTGCAGATGGTGATGCTCCTGTGCATTTGCTGCTCTATTCCATCCAGATTAGTTTGATCATGGATTAGGAAGGTACTGCCTAAGATATCTTGGTGCATTTCTGCAGTTCATCTTGAGAAGACGGTGCACACTGCTGCTACTGAATGTCAGTGGTGGAATGAGAGAATGTCCGTGGAGAGAGTGTTAACATTAAAGTTAAATGCTAGTGAGTGTCCTCTGGAAGGCAGAGGAAATATGGCCTAGACAAGAAAGAAATGAGTTTAACAAGACTAAACTGAGTATATTTTAATGCAAAAAGCCTACAGAATAAACAGACAAGCTGAGGGCACTAAACCGAAAACAAAGTGCAAATGCTGGAAATCTGAAACCAAAGCAGAAATAGCGAGAGAAACTTTGCAGTTTGGCAACATCTGTGGTGAGAAAGCAGAGCCAACGTTTTGGGTCCAGTGACACTTCTTCAGAACACAGATAGGTATGTGGAGTAAGAAATGTAACTATGACAAAGACTTGGCTGTAAGGTAGGTAGGATTGGCAGCTCAACACTCATGGCTACAGGGTATTCAGAAGAGATTGAGAAGGAGATGGAAGACAATGGGGTGTTGCATTATTGATCAAGAAATGAATTATATCAGTGAGGAGAGATGATATCTTAGAAAGAGCATCAAATGAGGCCATTAGAGTGGATGTAAAAAACACAAAAGGGACAAACATGCTGTTGGGCACTGTAGGCCTCCAACAGTCAGGGAGAAATAGATGATCAAATATGCAATCAACTTTCAGAGAAGTGTAAGTATAATAAGGCAATAATAGTAGTAGATTTGAACTATCAAAATATTAACTGGCGTAATTTTAGTGCGCAATGTAGGGTGGGAGCAAAACTCTTAAATTGCAACCGGGAGAAGTATTTTAGCCAGTATGTAGAAAGCCCAAGAAGGGAGGGAGAGTTCTGAACCTAATATTTGGAAATGAAACAAGGCAGGTAGAAGGCAGTTTGGTAGGAGAGTATTTTAGAGATTGTAACCATAACTCAGTTAGATTTATTGTAGACAACAAGGTGCAGGGCTGGATGAACACAGCAGGCCAAGCAGCATCATAGGAGCAGAGAGGCTGACGTGTCGGGCCTAGACCCTTCATCAGAAAAGGGGGAGGGGAAGGGGGTTTTGAAATAAATAGGGAGAGAGTGGGAGGCGGATAGAGGAGGGATA